CTTGCACCAATCTCATATTCCACACCTTCAAATTACCGCGGCTACATCATGGCTCTTCCGTCAAAGCACTCCATGCTCAACCAAGGGGTGATTTACTTGCACAGCTCATCTTAACCACCACTTCCAATTACACACTCCAACACGCCCCTCTTCCTCTCACGTCCTCAACATCTCCACAGCAGTCACCACATCCACACTCCTCACTAAGTGATTGCAACGAACCGCTAGTCTACCTGTTGTTCCACAGATGTGTACAGGTGGCTTGCTCACGGCCAACAGCCAATACCCGCCCACATCTCCACCTTCACTCCCACAAACACCAGTGAACACGTCAGTGTCTGTCAGCGTGTCAGCGTGTGTCGGTGTGTTGATGGCGTCACCTACTGCACCCAACACTACTGATCCCGTTCCCTACTCGTCATGGCTTCCGTTCACCACCAGACAAGTGAGAATGCAAGGTGAGCTGACTCCCATCACCTCCACATCCACACACAGTGCATTTTGGAGGAAGCAGAATCAGGAATGCTGCAACCAACGCTGTTGCACAGATCATTGGTGTAGATGACGCTACTCAACTACCCATCCCCTAAACCCCTCCACCTACAGCAAATTTGCACTCTGTGGCTTGCAGACCATCCAACACCTGTCTCTCGATTCGAAGGTAGCCTGTGCATTGACATGGACACTCACGAAGTAGGGGAAACTGCTCATTCCTCCACACTGTCTCAATCCACACCACCACACTTACCTCAACTTCCACTCCACCTCCAAAGCTACCACTTTGAAGGATTTGTCACTGCGCCTAAACTATCCCTCCACAGTCTGCTTCAAATGCACACGTCTGTTCGGCTGCTCGTCGTGACCCAACTGTTCGCATTCGTATGCATCTGTGAGGGAGCTCGATGTCTGTTGCCTCCTCGTGGGAGGATTCCTCTTCTCTGCAGTGTGGCAACAGGCATTTCAACACGTTGTCGGACTGAATGTTCACAGGCACCACTGCAGAGATTGTGGACAAACAGCAGTCACCGTTGGGTTCCTCACTGGTGGGCTGTCAATAGGGTCGTCTGAAAACACACCGACTTCATGCCAATGAAACAGCGAGGTAGACTAACACACAATCGCTTCCTTCGTGTATCTTTTACAGAATACAGTAAATCCTCCACAAAGTTGGCAAAGTAGTGTGTGCAAGTGGCAAAACTTTCATGGTACGACAATTACCGTGTCCCCACTCTACAACCTTATTGTGGTCAATGGTGTTTGATCGTAGTTGTGGGCAATTTTCCAGTAATTTATGATTTCCACTGCTCATACTTGGCCTAATGTGTCCAGCCGAACATGTTAAGATGGCGGCTAATGGTTCCACAAGGCCAAATTTCAAGTCTCACACTTTACAACTTTCTCCTCACTCGCTTGATATGCTGACACTGCCACACTCGAGTTACGCCTGAAGCAGTTGCCTTGAAGGCAGCAGTTTGGAAACATCTGGCAGTGCGGCTACCACATAGCCATCACTGCAGTTTAGCCATGGAAACAGAGATGCAACTGTTAATGTAGCTTCAAAAGGCAGTACCACCCACACTCCGTAGAAGTTCACGCCTTGCATACGCATGATGAAGTGAACATATACCCTGACGATGTGTTGGTCGGCTCAACTGCGCCCTACATGGCAGAACCCATTATCGGCTGCCGCCCTTACTTCCGCCTTGATCACGTGGCTC